AGAAATGACCTGCTGAGTGGAGCCAGGATAATTAGCAAATGCTTAACCACCTTAATTTGGCACGCACCGTAAGTATTTAGCCAAAACATAGGTACATTCCGCATTCCAGTGGAAGCCTGAACACATAGTAACGTTTTTGCAATCTTATCTTGTTCTCGGGTTAATCTCTTGATGACGGCGAATATTTCGCGCGGGACGTCATCGAAATTAGAGCTTTAGCCTTTATGTGAGCAGCATGTGCCAGCAGACATATTAGAGCCGTAAGTGTTTGCATGAGTTGTTCAGATGTTCCTTTAGTTCAACCGACTTCAAAAAAAGGAGGAGGTTCTCAATTCGACCCGTATGTTTTTTTTTTTTTTTTTTTTCTATGTTTGTTACGCGATAGCTCCGCCAATTATGAACCGATTTGAACAAATCTTTTTTCAGTGTATAGGTAATATCTCAAGGGTGGTCCCATTTAAATTTAATATTAAAAAAAACAACCCCCAAGGGTGGAAAATTGGGGATGAACTTTTTTATACGCAATATCTGCGCCGATTATAAACCAATTAGAACGATTACTTTTTTGTTGAATAGGTATTATCAAAAGGGTGGTTTCATGCGAATTTGAAGAAAATATTTCATCCCCAAGGGTGGAAAATTGGGGATGAACTTTTTTATAATATACATTAAGAATATGGTCTCAATGTACTGCCTATCTTCAGTGGTAACATCAAGGTAATAATTAGTCAACTAAAAAGCAAGAAATAAGTTAAATTTTATAAAAAAAAATAAAACAAGTGCAGGCAAACTTTACATGTTTCATAATCTTGGCACCGACTCCAGAAGTATCAATCATGGTATACCTACATAAATATTAATAACTAGCTGACCCGGCGAACTTCGTACCGCCTTAGCGTAGAGATTTTCTTAATATTTTTTTCCGTAAGAACCATCCTTGGACTTCCACAAACATTAAAAAAAAAGAATTATCGAAATCGGTTCAGCCGTTCACACGTGATGCCGTGACAACGCGAAACGGGTTTCATTTTTANTCATCGAAATTAGAGCTTTAGCCTTTATGTGAGCAGCATGTGCCAGCAGACATATTAGAGCCGTAAGTGTTTGCATGAGTTGATGTTCCTTTAGTTTTGTACACAAGGAAGTTGAAACATCTAAACAAAAAGTTTTGCCACGGGTTTTGAGGTGTTAATCCTACATAATGCTGTAGGCTGTAGTAATGCTGGCATCTAAGTTAAAATCATATTTAAAAAATAGAACCTTTGGGGATATGAATATCTCGATCGCCATTAATGCTACGCCCTATAAAGCTACGAAAATTTTGAGTTCTGAAATTAAAAGAAAGAAAGTAACACCTACCTTCCTATTAGTTAGTTTTGCATTATTTTGTTTGGCATGGTGACATACGTGACATACTCGTAGCAACTTTATGAGGAACCTTCCATAATAATAAAGTTATATGTACATATAGCTTAGTATGTAGAGTCAGTTAAAGTTATTTCAGAAGATGAGACATCTGTACATGATAGTGAAGTAATCTTTTATTTTAATCGTTTAGTCACTGCAGGCTACCTTCTGTGTATAAAGCGAATTTGCCCAGGTGTCCCGGTTGTCGTCGAGTTAATTACATTTAAATAATTTCGAGGATGTCACGCCTTTAATACCGAAGCCCAAACATGACTGAGTGACGGATAACAATGTCATGTAGATTTTATAGCGACGCATATAAGAACCTTGGGGCATAAAGATGAGGCTATATTGCCCTATAGTAACGGGAAATAACTAGTTCATTCGATCGCTAAAACTAAGCATACTACGAAGTTATTTATAGTTTGATAGCGGTATATTCATTTATTTCCAGAAGTTAAAACAATATTATATCACATTTTATTTTAGTTTAATTAACATTTGACAAAAGGTGGTTATAGGCTTTAACTTAAATAATAATGTAGAGTCCGATGTCGACGTCATAGCAGCGCGGGCGGTAAAATATTTTCTTTACATTTTCCACCAAACAACGCTGCGAAATCAAATCGCAAGCGAATAACTTGTATTTTCATGACGAATTTCTATCTTTCATCTCCCTACCGGCTTCCCAGGTCAACAGTCAACACCCTATAATAATGCATAGTTCAGCATATACCTCATTATTAGTTTACGACGTCGTATTAGACTGAAACCATAACACTATGCGTGAAAGGTGAACGTCCTTGCGGCGAGGAAGCGCTGTCGAGCTGGTCGAAGTGTAGTCGAACTGGTCGAAGTAGGTGATCGAAGACAAAGAGCCAGCTGCACAGGTGTCCATGAGACGGCGGGTCAACATTGAATATAGGTCACAGACTACCATGCTATGTCATAGATCAAGAGTACAGATGTTGCGTTATTGGCTACTATTACCTATACGGTTCGTCCTTGCTGGTGTAAATACCTGCACAGGCATTGGCAGGGTCAAGATTGAACGTAGATCGCTGAATAAAAAATATTATTAAACTAGCTTTCCGCCCGCGGCTTCGCCCGCGTGGAATTTTGTCTGTCACAGAAAAACAATATCGCGCGCGTATTTGCTCACCGTTTAGACCTACCCTGGACTACGACAAACATTTTAAAACCAAAATCAGCTCATTCGGCCCAGCCGTTCTCGAGTTTTAATCAGACTAACGAACATCAATTCATTTTTATTTATACAGGGTGGAATTTTGTAATGCCACCTGGATGGAAAGTACCCTTAATACTGTAGATAGAAAATTTTACTTAAAGAAAACATTCCTTTATTTTTGAAAATAAAAAGAGCTGCATCCAAAGATTTCCGATTTTTTTTGAAAAATTTACCACCATACCTTACAATTTTCTGTAAATAATTAGAATTATTTAAGATTTCATGGTTTTCCTTTCATTTGATTTATCAAGTTTGTTAGAGAGATTTCATCCTTAACTTAACACTAACGATCAATGCAATAAACATACAGGGTGTAATTTTTAACAGATTTTAGTTGGTTCGATTCCCGGGTGTGGCAAGCAAATTTTTGGAAATCTTTGAATGCAGTTCTGTTTCTTTTCAAAAATAAAGGAATGTTTTCTTTCAGTAAAATTTTCTATCTACAGTATTAAGAGTACTTTCCCTCCAGGTGGCATTACAAAATTCCACCCTATATAGATAGATAGATAGATAACTAACTTTGTAAAACAAAATATCGGAATGGGACAAGGACATTTATGAGAGAGAGGATCATCATCAAATTATACCATAGATCAAGCAGTCTAATAAATTGGCCATAGATCAAACATGAGGTTATACTGAATTTCGTCGATAAGCCTATCAAGTCGTAATAGCACACTTATTCCTTCTACGAGTATCTGCTTGAAGCTGTATAACACATGCCATCGATGCTGAAAATGTTAACGAAACACACGTCTGTAGAGACACCCTTTATTATTACCATGTATTGAATGATGAAAACCTTTTTCGTTCTGAATCTCTATAACCATTACTTTTATCCACTTTTAGGAAACTTAAACTTATTTCAATTAAGCTTTGAACTTTATAATCTTTAGGCAAAAAGTTAAAGCTATGTATTCGGCTCTACAAACGACATTTTTCGTGTATTAATCTATGAGAGCTACCATAAACACATTTTTAAAGTTTAATACAATGATCATATGTGACGCAGATGCTCGAATTACACATAGTTTAAGAATTCAANTTATGATGGGTTAATGTTTTTGGGCGGTTTTTTAGGCGGTTTCTGACAATGTCCTTTTCAAATTTTAAAACTAACAAATATAAACACAGTGGCTAGTTATTTGCTGCCGCTGTAAGGGATCTCAGCACAGCACGCCTAAATTTCAGTGGCTTATAACAAAAAAATGTCGACGTCCTCACATGCTTTGCATAATAGCCTTTGTACTCCCTCTGCAGTCTGCTCATGGTGCATACATTCCGTCTATATTGAAGCTGTCTTCAAGGGCCATCGATGTTGAAAATGTTAACGCAAACACGTCTGTAGAGACCTTTTATTACCATTGAATTATGAAAACATTTTTCTTTTTAAACCTTGATAATCATTACTTTTATGCACTTTTAGAAAATTTAAAATTATTGAAATTGAGCTCTAAGTAGGTATAATCTTTAGTCAAAAAGTTAAAGCTATGTATTCGGCTCTACAAACGACATTTTTCGTGTATTGTTTTAATCTATGAGAGCTACCATAAACACATTTTTAAAGTTTAATACAATGATCATATGTGACGCAGATGCTCGAATTACACATACTTTAAGAATTTAGAATTCAATTTGAAGGTTACATGGCGAATCATATGCAAGTGAATAAATAGACCATACATAATATTAAAAACCTACATAACTACATATTTAGTTTATGATGAAGTATGGAAAATTTGAGCGGAAATAATTTAGTTTATATTATAAAAGAATACAAGTATACGTAATCAATATTATAATACGCAGCTTAAAGCAGGTTAAGAGTCCATGCTAATAATGTAGAGCCATTAATCTGAATGTTTAACTTAGTCACTTACTGAACGTTTAACGTAGAGGACGAGAAACAAAAGTGGTCTTATTGTTATACCCTGTGGACCACCTTAAACAACTACTCAAAAGTTATTGGTATGTAAAATTTGAAATAAATAAGAGTGAGAAAACATAACATTTCAGAAAGTGCGTAGAAATTGCTCAGAGGTTTCTTTTAATGAACTTTCATTAGCTTTAATTCCCCAATCCAAAAAAATATAACCCATACAAATCAAATGAGATGAGGTCTAAAACTATGAGCACGATCGAAACTCAACAAGTGCAAACCATAAATCCGATAGCGGCGAATCAGAGGCATCGAGTACACAAACCACGAGCTTTAAAACGAGCGCAATAAACAAACATTTAGGTAAAGAATAGCTACTAATAACGTAACGGAAGCAGCATCGATCTAAGTGGTTGGGCAAATGTGCGCGCGCGCCGGATTCATTGATAACGCTCGAAATCGCGAGCGGAGTCGGTCGCCTGTCAGCTCAGTCGAGAGCGCGCCGCCGAGACGAGCGCCCGGTGCAGGCGCGAACGTGTGTGACCCCAGCCCCAGCCTAGCCCCAGCCCAGCCCCAGCCCCACCAGCCCCACTAGCGGCCAGCCCCCCGGCTTGGAAACTGTGGCATGGTAACGTGACCTTAGCCAGGATTAAATTTAATACCGCCCGGACGGATCCTGGGCGCTTGCCGCCTATTGTCTCGAATAGGTCTAGAGATAGGTATCGTATTACGTAATGTCACTGAAAAAACTTTTCGTGTANTTCGTGTATTTTTAAAGTTAAAATTAATTTAATTTTCACAAGATTTCTGAAAATATTTTTTGGTAGAGCTTTCAAATTTTCATTAACAAGTTAATCATCACGCACATGGGTCATGTTTAACTTATTATTTGATTCCAAGTTTCAGTAAAAGTAATTTCGAATTCCGAGAAATAAAATAGAATAACAACTATCGTCATCTCATACTCGTAGTTGTTGTCAACAACAACTCCTGGAAGCTCTTAAGTTCGTGATAAGTAGTTGATAAAAATTCTCATAAAATGTGTGAAACATGTGGTGGTGGGATGTTTGTGATGTCAAACCGGGCCAGGGTTAGCAGCAGCGTTATCGGAGGAGGAACCGCGAAGGCTGTGCTTGCGCAACGGGCGTATCGCGTCCGTCGCTAAATTCCCTTGTGTGGGAATCCTGTGCTCATTATTATGTTACAATTCATTTATTCGCTCTGATATACCTATTGCCATTGTGATTGTCTGTGTTTCAGTTTCTATCAGAACTTTTTTGTACGAGAAATCATTGTAGAGCTTTTCTACTGACTCATTGTGTCATCTTCTGTTGATATTTTGGTATTCATCTCTCTAACCATCTAATTCGAAGTCCAAAGGAGGAGGGCCATCATGAAATACGTTTTTTAAAAAGATCAGACTACTCTTAAGATAAATGTCTAAGTTTTGAAAAAATATAACTGCAAGTTGTTAATTAAACACAAAAACACTACTGCAACGGGGACAAGTTTCTAAAAGCTTTGATGACTGCAAGCAAATATGTATTTACTTGATAAAAAAACAATGTTTTCTAAATAAAGTTTTTACACAAACTTTTGCGGATGCTAAGTCAAATAAGAATATATTACGAAAGTGGCAAGAACACGCGAATTAACCAAACAAACATGGCATGGTTTAATCAATCTCAAAAATAAACTTGGACTAGTTTGTATGAACGAGTAGGATTGTAGTTAACGAAATGTTGTTGTGATCAAAGTTTCGTAAGCTTTCTTTGACGTCAGCCACTGGAATGAAACCCATTTCGAGCTTTTTGTAAACAATGATTTACATTATCATGTTTATGATTTAAAACAGTCGGGAAAAGTTAACTGGCTATTAATTTTTCTTTTATTTGCGTTGATTTGCTTCAACGAGTAGCGTAATCGAAATGTAAAACTTTTCAAATGTCTGTAGACCTTAATATCGGGATCATTTATTAATTAAAATCTCGTCAAATGCTTAGTTTCTAATAGTAATCTGTGTTATAAACATTGTGATGATATTATTCGTAGCCTCTATGTCGTGTTGATTACAATTCGCGACTTTTGACTCGACACACATTCGTACACATTGACACGAAGAAGTAGTGGGATTATTATCTGTTTCGTATTGATGTTATTCGGTAACATGAATAGCTAAAATGTTACAACTAAAAATGCCTATCTTCTCTCAAATTCATTGAGGAAGAAGATAAGTGAGATCCATAAGAGATTTACAATTAAAATTAGTACATTATTGCCCTGGATTTATAATATGCGTTCGTCTACGTAGAAACTATTACTTACTAAACTATACTAATCCAATTTGCTGATATTACTTTTCGTTTAAAGTAATGATCATATAAATGGAATTGATCGTGATCATTTAAGTAAGATTTCTTGTACTTATTATTCTAAAGCATGTTAAATATAATAGGAATAAGATTAACAGCATGAAGAGTCTAGTATGTCGTCCTCTAACAGAATTTGTCCTAAGTAGGTAATTTATCATCCAGATATAAGTCATCAAGTCATTGAAGTCGATTGATCATCATTAGATTTTCCAAGCCTCGATCCTGACTGAGGATTTGCAACCTGTTTGTTGTGACAAAGTTCGAAGATTAATGTTGCGGTCGACATTGGCCTGCGCGCGCAAACTAATTCCCCATTGTGTCTGTCGTTACAAATCATAGTCGATCGTTAAGCAGGCACATTGTGACCACTATAAAACTTTAGGGCCCAAAGCGACGCTTACGCAACGCAATTTTACACATCATTGTTGTTAATAGCAATTCAACTGTTACTAGGCCGCGTTTGATGGAAACGATAAATTATTTCAACGATAAATAATAACGGAATAGATGTAAAGCTGTAGTTAGAAAGTTCAAGTCACTGAAGTTAACACAACCCTACTTATGGTAGAGTCGTAACGCTAAGGTAAACTTTGAAAAGTTTTACCTTTTTTGTAAATATTTTTTTGAAGTTACTAAACCTTAACATGATTCTCGAATTAAAATTCAAACAAGCAGTTATTCTAAAAGTTGTGAGAGCACGTTTTCAGCTTTTTTACACTTCATTTACTAAGTTTTAGAACTTCAAAACTATAACGAATGAGACCTACTATGTAGTTGTCACCTATTCGTGGCAGTTCTCTTATCACGCAGCATATTTTTACCTAAACGACAAGTAAAATACATTAACGTAGTCTTGAATTGGTTAGTCCTATAATGAAATTTGATTATTTCAGTTTGATTGACGAAGTGCACAATTCGCAACTCTACATAAACCCGTTTTCATCAGCACCTAGGTAATATTTACTATCCACATAGGAACTGCAAATAAATAGGCTACGAGATACATGTTCCTGGAGTATCAAGTATCTAGGATCAGCCCATTTCAGCACAGGCCTCCATTGAGCGACGAGGAAGCGCGGGCACTTATGCGCGCGCGCACAACAGGCCTTTCTAGTGATCGATGCGCAGCTACATTTAACGCGGCAGTCATATTGAGATTAAAGCCTTGTTTGCATTAGTCGAGTGATTAGTAGAGCAACTCGCCTTAGTAGCTAAACCAATCGCTACTCACCAAAAATCTTTACAAGTGCATATTAAGTGGTTTTTGTATGAACTCTACTTAACCGCTCAGTTCGGACTCCTTTAGTCAGTGAGCAGGGACCGTGGGACGCGTGGTAGAGAGTACTACCACGCGTCCCAAGGTCCCTGCTTACTACTCTCCTGTCAAAATAGAACAAAATGGTTTAGTTCGATAGTACTCATTATTATTCTGTGGTTCGACTAAACGATTGTAGTAAACTACTCCACAAAATTTTGGTGTTCGGACTCGTTTAGCTATTAAGCCACTCGCCACTCGTCTAAATTACTCGACTAATGCGAACGAGGCTTTAGGCCCTGTTTCCACTCAGGTTGGATTCGACCAAACAAGAGTAAATATTAATCTCAGAATAAATCGTCAGTTTTGATATATTTCCCATACTGAAACTGTCAATGTGACAGTTATACCAGGAGTTATTCTCGGATAAAAATTTGGTTGAATCGGGCCTAAACGATATAGTAAACTACCTACTCGACTAAATTTTTGGTGTTCGGACACGTTTAGCTATTAATTACACCACTCGCCACTCGTCTAAATTTCTCGACTAATGCGAACGAGGCTTTAGGCCTTGTTTCCACTGAAGCGGAGAAGAAAGGATAATGTTTGAATATCCAATCAGATTTCCGAACTGAAGCTGAGATTGTGTGGAAATAACGAAATCTGATTGGTCACTCAAATACATATTATCCTCTCTTCTCCGCTTTGGTGGAGACTGGGCCTTAACGCGGGAATCAAATAATAATATGTAGGTACGATATTGGTGGAAATGGATGTAATGCAAGGCGAGGAGTGAGATGTTGTTTTGTTAGCGGTTATTGATAATCATATTTCAGAGCATTTCAGCACTCTGGAAATGACTGACAGTAATAATGCGTTGGCTGTATTTTGCTTTACATTTCTGAAGCATCTTTAGAATTTTTAATACTTGCAAGTTTCAATAGAAAAATGTAGGAAAATGAAAACGTTAGCTTTTAAGAAAATGGTGTTAACGTCATAGCAACCTGAGGACAGGCTCGACCAAAAGTAGCTATATTACAGAATAAATAATAATACAATGAAGGCCAGTAGAGTAGTAGAAGCTTGTTTTTAGGTGTGGATAAATTCATAAATCATTATCATCATCATCACCATTTCAGGACGTTCACTGCTGAGCATAGGCCTCCCCCAATGTTTTCCATGTTGATCGATTGGTAGCGGCCTGCGTCCAACGCTTCCCTGCTACCTTTATGATGTCGTCGGTCCTCCACCTTGTGGGTGGACCACCCATTCATAGATAGTATAATTATAATGATGATGATTCCAGGTAATTAAATCTTTTTGCCTACGCGTTAATTAAAATCGATCTCAAATCCAACTCTAGTCACTAACTCTACCACAATTTCAAAGGAATCCTAGGTATTACACTAATCGTGTTCAGTCTAGTGCTAGGAATCCGTAGAAGTCTACCACTTGACACCTTAGGGATTTCTGACTTTTAAGCCTTTTAGCTACATTTTACATTTACTTACTTTAGTATAATCGAAGAATAATATCGCATTCTTTAAAAACTTCAATTCAGAACAGCGCCTATTTATTGGCTATATTTTATCTTCATGCTTCGTACATCTGTTTAAATATTATGTAGTTAATATCGTTGGATCGACCTTGACCTAAATTTGGTCTGGTGCCCTAATCTCCATTATGTACATACCTACACGTGGTTCAAGTTGTGTGAAGTGTTTTAGAAGAATAGATTCTATAATTCATAAAATAGATAACTGATCTAAAGCACCAGGAATATTGAGATAAATCGCCTTTAAATAAAAACAATGCAATGGTGAAAATGATTAGATTTTCATCCCTACATTATTTTTATATCCGTAATTTTTCATCACGCCTGAAATAACTTTTATACTCGTATGAAACTCATGTCTTGTACATAAAATAAAAGAGGTAACAAGTGAATCTCGTGTCTAAATTGCCAGCCAGCATTATTTGTTAAATCTACAAAGAAGTTTT